AATATACCTACAATATTGATCAGTTTCCCTGCGCGCAGTCGATCTAGGGCTTGATCAATTCTTCTATTAAAATTCGTGGTCACACTAAAAAAGTCCAATGACACATTAAAAATAGGCACATGCAAAAGCAAAAGATCCAAACAAAAGTGGCAAAAGTCTCTTACCGACAGTATACCCACTCGCACCCGAGTGAATTAATTGCCTCTGGGTTTTTTCCACAGAAGGGCGCTGACTTCACCCCACACACCCACTACCTTTTCACAGCTCTTCAGGCAATCACCTGGCAGAGAGCAACAAACTGCCAGGTTACACTTGTTACACAAACAAGAAATTAGAGTTCTCCAATGCTGCAGGACTTGTCTAGCGATTTCCCGGAATAATGGCAGTGTAGATAAAGCTTGTGACGTTCACTTTCTTTCCACATCCAGGTGTTCTCTCTCACCAACCGCCAATCAGCCAGGGTGTTTTAAACACGGAAACACACAGATATACAGCAAACGGTGAATAAAGAATAAGGAATGTGTTTTTAGGACAAACGTGTAAACCTGGTATTTGCATTTTTGCTTCGGTGTTTTGTTTTGATTATTTTTAGCCGATTCACTGCTCCAAACAGATGTTGAATGTATTTTGTCTTAAATGCGTTTCGTGATGAATTGCATTATTAGAGTAAAGACGTATGACGCACCTTCTTAGGCAAGTGTGTCAGCATGAACACGACCAAGTAGGCTATACTAGAGCGCACATAACTGCAACTGGAACACAAATTTCTCCTTCGTCATGTGATCTATGTCTATCTTGAGCAACTCTGTCGAGACGGTTGCGTATAGGCGTCAGGTGCAATTCATGCATCATTTGTCAAGACTTTGGGTAGTTCTCAGGAGATAAAGTATCACCTGAGATATAAAAAGAAAAATATTGCAGTATACCAAAACATGTACCAAGTTGCATGAATAACGATCTTTTCACAAATACAAAAGCGTTCGGCCAAAAATAAGAATTACATTACTTTTGAATCCAACAATAACAAAAGAAAGACGAGGTTCATAATCTTGTTCATAATCTTCATCTCGGTAGGAGCTAACGATTCAAGGCATGAAAATACTGCTGGAATTTACGGATCCAGCTTAAGTTCTATTGACGTTGCATCTGAATGGAAATCGGTGTCTACATTCCACATGACAAATGTTTTTGTAAGTCTTAACCAATGTTGTTGTCACTTTTAGGCAAGCACATTAGTCGTGTGTGCACTCCACCTTCTTGGCACCGGACAGGTGGGTGTGGCTGATATATATAGGCTCATCCGTCTGCACTGCTTCACTTTCAGGGCAATCAGATTCAATTAAAGTGGTCCAAAATGCTCCTATTTGGGGTTCTACAATTTGGTATGTTTTTTTTTTATTTTTTATTATTATTATTATTATTATTACAATTGTGGGATATATTTCGAATAATTTAAATCACAATTTTAGAAAATTGAATAATAATGTTTTTCGCTCATTTTTCAGCTTTGGTGGTTTTCGCTTGCGGTAAGTAGGGTTGAATTTTTCTTCTAAAAGCTGATGTGCATGCTACATTTCACATTGCCAGATTTGTTATTATTTTTGATGAAAATTAATTACGTTTTTTCAGTGGACAATTTAACACTTTTGTCGTTAGCCAGACCCCAGATTTATTGCATGCCTTGCGTGTCCACTCATCAATTTTGTTGTTGAAAAATAAAATCTGGCAGTGTGACTGATTCTCTCTTCTAAACGGACTCAGTTCTTATTGATTAAACTACTACTTGAAATATGTGCTTGTTGACAGAGCCCACAGGAGATACTGATGCAGCCTCTAGAAACGACTGTTACCGGTGAGACAGACTTTCCTCACCTTATGTGCGAAGACCTCCAAAGTGAAAGGACACTTTCCAATCTAAGCAGATAATTTATTAAGAATCTACTTGTCAACTCTTGACATCGTGATATTTTTGAGTACAGGGAGATGTTAAAACGTGATCCCTTCAGTCATATTGTAGCTAAGCAGTGCATCTACACGCACACCGATGGTCTAGTCCAGGGGTCAGCAACCTTTAACACCCAAAGAGTCATTTGGACCCGGTTTCCACGGAAAAGAAAACACTGGGAGCCGCAAATACTTTTTGACATCTAAAATGAAGATAACACTGTATATATTGTTTTTTACTTTTATGCTTTGTGTGAACAACTAAGGTGTGTTGCTTTATGTGATTAACGTATTTTGAACTCTTAAAAAAAATATAACAAAAGGAAAGACACCCAGCTGAACAAAAATGATCCATGTAGCAAACAAAAACTGTTGTGAGCCGCCACACACATATCGCCTTTGTGCTTTTGGAGCCTTGACCTGACTTTTAAAAAATAACTGGGGAAAAAAAGCACTATGCTGCTAAAAAATGAAAAATAGATATTTGCAAAATTCTGCCTAAATATGTATTTTACCTGGTTAATGTGTGTGGCGGGGCGTGGTCGGGGAGGCGAACGCACCTGAGCGGCACCCGCAATCACGCGTCGCCGCCTTAAAGTCTGTGCTATCTATGCTGTTGTGTTGTTATTTGTCGGGCTGTGAGCAGAAAAGCGACAGCCGGCTGTATACGTACAGCAACCGTGTGTGAAAAGTGGCCTATAAAGGCCTCAGGTTGCCGACCCCTGGTCTAATTAGTAGCGGTCTTTGACACGAGCGGTTGCCACCACGATGCCGGGTGGGTGGCGGGCATCGGCAAAAAAAATAAAAAATAAAATAAAATAAATTAGCTGCCCCGACATCATGCCAGGCACCGATCGGCTTTCTGACGCTCATTTGCTGGGGGTAAGGGCGAGGTGCGCCCGCTGCTTGCGGCACAGGGAGGAGAGGACGGGGCAGCGGTGGATTCTCTGGCTGGCTGGAGCAGCATCTGATAACCAACTCGCAAAATAAAACAAAATTTAAAAAAAAAACCCAAAAACAACAACAAACACGAAAACACCAGACACATGATGAAATGCTAGGTAAACCTTTGTGAGTGTGTGTGTGTGTGTGTGTGTGAGAGAGAGGGAGAGATTCTCTAGCGTTATTTTTGTGCCACTATTCTGAGCTCACGTTAAAAAAAAAAAGTGAGCGCATGTAAAGAGCAAGTCTAGACTTGCACCTGCAAATTCTGCAAGCTTGCATTTTGAGGAGAAATTAAAAAGAATTTTATTTGAGCCAAGAAAAGCTAAATTTGAGTGAACAAAATTCATTGCTGCGTGCAAAAAATGTATTTTACTGTCTGCTATTATCCATACACACACACAAAATAGCAGCCCCTCTCGCTGAGTTTTTGCATTTGCGCTTGCTCGCAATGTGCTGCTTGCGCTCTCAACATTTCTGCCCGTGCGCTTTCAACTCTTTCTGTACACCGTTATATTTGTGCCACAAAACCAGCCAATCACAGACAGGGAGATGTTAAAACGTGATCCCTTCAGTCATATTGTAGCTAAGCAGTGCATCTATTTGCACACCGATGGTCTAGTTGTATGTAGACGTTAACATGTTTTCCATCAGAGGGCAGTATAATAAAGCAAAAATGAGGAAATCTGTACAGATTTGACTGTTCAGATGATGTGATGATTATAGTTAATATATATATGTACTTTTATGTCTGTGAAAATGACTGTCAGTGTTGATATCCTGGGTTTGGTTATCTTCGCTTTTCAGAAAAGACTGTGATGGAACAGTGTATGACATCCAAGAGGCTACTTGCTGTGGAAACAGACTTCACCCAGGTGGAAGTTTGTCTTGTTGTGGAAATGAGCCTTACAATCCTGAAACAGCCACTTGTTGTAAACACAACATCACAGGTAATAATTTATGAACTAGCTACATAACTAAAACTGGAGTTGAATTGTACCAATTTAGACTGAAAGGAAGCACAATAGCACAGTGTTTAGCACTGTTGTCTAAGAGTAAGAAGGTCCAACATCCAACATCTGACTAGGGCCTTTCTGTGTGGAACTTTAATGTTCTCCAGAGAACATATAAACTGGGTTTTGGTTCCATGTCCTCTCTCCTCTTTCAGCTCTTGGTATTTCTCAAGTTTCTCATGTTTCTTCCTGATGTTGTCAACATTTGTTATAGCTACATTTATCTCTGCATGTCCCTGTATATGTATACTATGCTAGTCAGCTGGTTATGGTATTCCAAGATGCTAGCCCTTCCTGCTAGCATCTTGGAACCCCAACCTGGTAGGTTGGGATCTACCACACCAGGTAAGACCCCAGGTGCAGACTTGCAGACTATGCAAAGATGCCTCTGAGCCATCAGCACATAACAACAGGGTGCAAGATGCTAGCAGGCAGGTCGTACGTGGAATGCCATAACCAAGTGGCCGGCATAGTATACAGAAACATTTGTGCTGATTATGGCCTCGAAGTCCTGAGGTCAAAATTGGATATGCCTATCCATTTTTATAATTTTTCCCAGTTTTTTTTTGAGTGGACATCAAAGCTCATCCAGCTCATATTTTGTTCTAGGTTTCCAGTGACTCAGTGCTGCTCAACTAAAAATGAAAATACCACACTAGACTGAACTTTTTTGTTCTCTTTAAACTTGTGGACTTTCTGGTACTGATTTTAGACAGTGGTTCTAGTGATTGTGTCTTGTTTTAACAGCCAGTGTTACTCAGGGTCTGAGTGAAAAGGTGTCCAAGTGCTGTGACCTAAAGGTGTACAACCCAATCAATGAAATATGTTGTCAATCAACCATCATATCAAAACGTGGACCAATGGCTGAATGCTGTGGTAAAGGTGAGCAGACACACAGTTGGAAAAGAAGACTAAATTAAATTTCTGTGAAATGTACTCCATTCAAACATTTTGAGGATATTGGAGCAGCTTCTCAGTTGAGTTATATTTGAAGTAAAAAAAAAAAGACAATGATCTTTTCCACAGATGTTTTTGATAAGGACAAGCAGTTGTGTTGTGGTCCAGCTGATAATAAGACAATTCTGGTGAGGAATTCCCGTCACCATGAGTGCTGCGGTCACAGCCAGTATGACACTGAGACTCAGTGCTGCTGTTCAAATGAGAAGTTGGAGATACAATCGAAGGATTCATCCTGCTGTGTCAGGAATTTCACTCCAGGTCAGCTCAGTACATAATAGCATGTCATTCTTTGCTGAATGGATTTCATGACATTTTTTGTTGTTTGAATCCAACTTTACATATCAGTCTTTAGGTATGTCAAACTGAGGCGTCTGCATGGTTACATTTGCTTAAAAAAATAATCAGCTTTCGATTAGTTTGCTTGTAGCAAATTTCCCTTTTTCCATTTTCCTTTGGATGGTTAAAGGAAGCTTATGCTAATTACTGTGAGTGAAGCCTGTATGTTGACTTTGTCTTTCCCTCTACAGGCCTTTCAAGTGGAAATTGTTTTGTTTTTTGTTTTTTTCAGTAAACTGAAATATAAGCTGAAATTAAGCATATTTCCTTCTTATTTAAAAATCTTGATGCTTTTTGTCCACAGGTGTGGAAAAACAGGTAAGCACACTGTAACAAAAGTATTAATTGCCTTAGATTGGTCAATAAAGAAACGTATTGGTCCTTTCTTAAACAATAATTTTACATCCCATTTTATTTTACAGATCACAGAGCTTCAACCCAACTGGTAGGTTAAAGGAACTTTTTGCAATTATTCTAGGTCTTTGTCAGCCCTTGGCATTTCTCAAGCGTCCTTCTTTCTAATCTTGCTTCTTATAGCTAATTGTATCACCACGGCACTGTTCTCTGCTTTTTCACCTTTGTTATGTCTGGTTGGTAAGCTATCACCAGTTTGCCCATCTGTATCTGGAAGTCTCAAAGACAACACAGAGGCACTAATCATGGCAGTACAGGAACAAGCCCTGAGCAAAAGATCCATAGAAGCTGGAGTCTACCACACCAAGCAAGACCCCAGGTGCAGGCTGTGTAAAGATGCCACTGAGACAATCCGCCACATAACAGTAGGGTGCAAGATGCTAGCAGGCAGGGCATACATAGGACGCCATAACCAAGTCACCAGCATAGCATACAGGAACATCTGTGCAGAGTATGGCCTGGAAGTCCTGAGGTCTAAACAGGACATGGGTGGTTGTGAATGACCAAACTAAGAGCCTGTGGGACTTCCAGATACAGACAGACAAACTGGTGATGGCTATGAACCGGACACAGTAGTGGTAGACAAGCAGAGGACCCAAGCTTGAAGAAGGGGTAAGCAGGGGGAAGAGGGGAATTTTTAATTCATGTAATTTACATCCATATCTATATGTTTATATAGTTCTCTCTCTCTCTGTCATGTTCTCCCCTTGCCTGTGTTGGTTTTCTTCGGGTACTCTGGCTTCCTCCCACAGTCCAAAGAAATGCAATTAGTGGTGTTAGGTTGATTGGTGATTCCAAATTGCCCGTACGAGTAAATGCAAATGGTTGTCTGTCTCTCTGCGTTAGCCCTGCGTCAGGCTGGTGATCTGTCCAGGGTGTAGCTTGCCTCTATGGTAGCTGGGATAGGTTTCAGATATAGGTATATAAGATGTATCACATACCTCTAAAGATAGGTAAAGGGACCATTCCACTTTCCATTTATTCCGGTTTGACTTTATTAAATGAAATCTCTATACATATTTTACACTTGTGTGCCATACATTAGTCTATGCTGTTTACAAAAGAACAAAAAAACAAACAAACTATTAATTGTGTTCAACTTTGTGGTTTTGTTCATGTGATGTGGACAGCTTGTGTGTTTATTTTTGCCCGTCTTTGTACATCCACAGCACTGAACCAAACACACACCTCTGTGGGTCATCATGTTACAATCCAAAGGAAAGTCAGTGCTGTGAGAGAAATCAAAAGCCTCACTGGTTCTGTGCCTCAGGTAACACCGTCTCCATGTTTGTTTTGACATTTATCCACTTTATCTGTTAGTTACTAGTTGATGTGACTTGGCACCACAGGGTGATCTTAACTATACAGCTTCAATAGCAGTTAGAGCTTTTTGGTATCTTGTGTGTATCAGTGTGAAAGCAAAGAACTTCAACAAAATACTAAACTAATAATGTAAATCGAAAATGATATTAAAATAAGAAATGGTGCAATTTTCGCTCATTTTGAAGTCATAAACCTTAAACAGTTCTAAAAGACGGGGACAGGAACACATATACCTTTGTACTCCTTTTTTTGATTTTGCTGTGCCCTACGTGTTTTCCGTCTGTGATGGTTCTCGAGCCAGCTTTGTACTCTTTTACTACCATGTAATCTATTATAAAGAATAACTGGGCATTGTCTAACATGAAAAAAAGACATCTGCATGCCAGCAAGTTCTTCCAAATCCTCGATTTATTTTTCAGTAATAAGAAGGCTTTCATGATGCAAGTTACTCAAGCCCCACACCCTAACAAATGGTTTGATGCTTTAACTCAAAAAAGAGCAGTATTTCATGCCACAAACAGAGTTCAACTAAATGTAAAATATTTGTTGTTATAGGCAGACAATTAGCCAATAACAAACCCTGCTGAAAATAAGGCAAAAAAAATGAGGGAGGAAGCGACAGTAAAGGCTGTGAATAAAGCCACAGAGACAAATGACTGAACGATTTGACTAAAAAAACAGAATGTTGGGAAGAGTTGTTTCTGTCTGACTTACTTCTCAGGTTGCCCTCAGATAAATCCAGACAGTGAACTAAATTTCTTTATGCTTACCGACAATGAAGCATGTGTCATCATACTTTGAGACGGTTAAGAAGTCTGTCTTGCGAGGATCAACGTCATGGGAAAAGCAGGTGACGCATGAAAGCCTGGCTACTCAAAGCTTTTTAATGAATAAAGAGTAAGTGAAATTAAGAGAGGAGGGGAGAGAGACAAAAAGCAAGTGTGTTGTTTTTTTTTCTTAACTATGGAAATGACTCATTAGATGAGCAACATCTTTTGGATAAAACTAGCTCCCATAAACTGCAAACTCCAAAAAGGATGTTAGCCCAACAACACATGGCAAACTGCAGCTCGTTTGTTAAAAACATTTCTGGAGATCTGAATGGGTTCATTAACTTTGTTGTACCGCTATAACTTGTTATCTTTATGACATGTTGTTGAACCAGAAAGTCACCCAACTCTTTTTTCACTTATTGCCTCCACTTTACCACAGTTTTACCTCACTCTGATTTTTGCACATTTGGCTTCACATGCCATCAGGGTTCTTTTTTCTGACAGGTAATTCCTCTGTGCGTCGCTTACCCTTTGCAGATGGAGACAATAAACTTATGTCTATTAAAGAGGGTATTGTATTTGAAACTCGAGTAGTAAGTGTGCGAAAC